AATAACTAGAAAAATCGATCCTCCGCGAGTTGTGCAGTTCATGAAAACCTGTGAATAGTACAAAATTTACGTCAGATTATACTTTTCGTATTAAAGTAAGAGGAGATGATTGAGTACACAGACTCTTTTTTCGTAGTAGAAGGATAGATTGCTGTATACTTCGTTGCTCTGTCACCTGAAATGGTTAATGAAAGCATAAACCGATTTTAGAGGCAATTGAATGCATTTTTTTAAGATCTTAATTTAAGTATCCACCAGAGGCTGGTTAAAAGTTAACTCATATATACTCAAGGCTGTTACTAACATTGAGATTTTCTACTTATTTTTTTTTTTTGTGCTAACTTTTTGTAGGTGATGTGCGGTTCGTGCTGTTGTACTAAATGTGGATTTTCTTGTAGTGTGTGCTGTGCAACCGCTGCAAAGATCAGTGATAAGGTAAGAAAGCTACAACATTAGAGTGTGTAAACCAACTACTCGAAGTTATTTGCTTAGATGATTGATTTGAGGATTTCAGGAGGGCAATGATTCACATGGATTCATCTGGATGCATGTACAGCAGACATGGCTGCAAGGCTCAGAATTAAAAGACCAATTAGCCTGGCTGTTATAGATAAATACCATATCTCATCTTTTCAGTTTTAAAGTATTCAGTATTCAATTGAAATAAATGCATTAACAATGTTAATTTTTCATTTCTTATATATAAAAATATATATAGAGTCACAAAATATCAAAAATCATTCTTCATAACTTTGAATCATACTTTTTCAGGATTTGAATTATGTTCTTAAGGTTATGAGAGATATAAATAAAGCAGTAATTTTTCTATTCTTAAGAACAAAAACCATTTGTTTTGCCCGTTGAGTTTAGAAATGTGAATGTAGATCAATTCCTAAAGCTTTGTGTTGGGTAGATGATATACACACAAGTCCAATTATAGTGGATCAACCAAAGTCCAATACAGTTAACAACTTGAAATCAGAAAGATAAAATGGGGATGCATGCATCAAAAACCAGTCTGTGTATATAATACACTGTCACAAAAAGGACGTTCAAAACATGTGTTCCCTCTTTGTGGGCAATTAAGTGGAAACTAATCACGCCTAAGAATAAATCAAGCAACTAACAAGAAAAAAAGTTAACACATCCATGCAACCAAGACACCAGATTTTTTTATGTGGAAAGGAGCCAGTAAAAAACATTCACTATAAAAATAATATTATCAGAAAGTTTTTTCTACTCTAGGAAACATTACGAAGGTAGTACAGAGCAAAAAATCATTAAGAGTAAATTCTTGGATCACCGATGTCATAGTCATCACCAAATTAAAGCTGGACGTCAAAATCTCTAATCAAATTGGGACATATCTCAACAAGTGTGCTGTGCACTAAGAGGAATTGGAGACCAAATCACTGTTGATCATTTAGGAGAACCATAACCCCTCTAGTGACCTTGCTACTGTTACAACTGATCACTCTCTACTGTTTTGACAGTGATGATCAAAACCAACCACTAACTGTTATTTACAGTACACCTGACTTCGTACATTCAGAGTCCAAGATCCATGCGGTTCATGTGTGCGTTCATGAAGAGTTCTCTCAACACCAGATGGATGGATACATACAACAGAAGAATCTTGAAGAAATAAGAGATTAAAATGGTTAGTTAACATATTTGAGTATACAGTAAATTAGTCCTCCTACAGCTAACAACTTGGATTTAATATTTCAAAAATTGTGCATGTTAGAAGGATTAAAATGTGCCGACGAACCTTGAAATGATTTATGCATAATGCTGCCTCAAAGCTTTACTCCATCCATCTTCATATATATCCTTGAATTGTCCTTGATTTAGATATTCTTTGGAGGGTAGAAGATTATAGCTTCAAGCCTGCAACTATGACATTTGTGAACGCCACCATTTTTCATCAAGTCGTTAGATCTTGGAGCTACTTTGCAAGACAGCCCATTGTTAAGTAAAGCAGCAGACAATTAAAGCAGCAGTGTTTGTGTTGCAATCTTGGCTGTGATTTAGGATGAATTAAGAGAGAACACAGCACACACTGTTGGATTATTCATTTCTGACTCATCATACTGGAAGCATCATCTCCCACATGAAAGGCAACATTAATGTCAAAGCATCCAGCATCTACTTGTTGAAGAAAGATCTTGCCTATAAAGGGAGGCTTGAACTTGGAATGTTGGATCAATCACCTTTGAACTAATCCTGAAGTTGACTTGAAAAAGGTAAAGGGTTTAATCAGATGCTATAAGATTTAAGACATGAACTAAGTTCGACGTTACACAGTAGTAGGGAAACAATCACTAAAATTATGAGAAATGTGAGATGAATAAGAAGACGAGGATGGAGGCAAATAAGGGAACGTGTGGGAGACTAACATCTTGATATCTAACTGATCTCCATGCATTTGAATTACAATTAAGATAAGAAAAAAAGTTATACAAATAGCTGGTAAAACAAGTGCAAGACAACAAAAATCAAATAGAATCAAAATGAGCAAGCACATGACTTTTTTTTTTTCATCAACAAATGAAATTAGTAAATGGGGTACAAGCAATACCCCTACAATTTCGGGTATGCTCATAACTTCTGGCACATAAAAGGAATAAGGGAGTCACAAAACAAAGGGGTCCTACATAGGCCTAACAAGATTTTGCTATGTCCTCTGCACAGGCAACTGGGAACGTGAAAAAAAGGATGGGAAATTAGAAAATCAAAGGCTAGGCTGAAATTTGAGAAAATAATTCATTTAGAGTTTGAAGAAGAAAAAAGCATCAATTGTAACATAGGAAGGAAAGACAGATAAGTGAATTGCTGAAATGAAATCGAAGGAAAACAATAATACAAAGCTTTAGAAGTCTATAAGATCTAGACAAAAAAAATTTTAAATTGCAAAATAGATGACAGAAATTTAGAGAGTCTTTAATGCAACTAATATGAATTAATCAAGAGAAGGAATCAACGGGAAATAATCATTTAACTCTAAGGCAGATAACATCATAGATACAGAGGAATAGACTAGTATATCATCAAGATGTATAACTTTGCTCAAGTAAAATGAACTATAGAGATAGCCTGATATATCAGTTTTGATTCCTTGTCCTAAACAATAACAATAGCAAACCAAATAGGCATCACAATAAAATTTTAAAGAGGTAGTTTGGATACTTACAGGGTAAGTTCTGCTTTCCCAAATGAAAAACTTGTAAAAGTGCAGCTTGATTTAGTCAAACTACAAGCTTGCTTAATTCAGCAGAGGTCATCTGCATTCCAGTTCTAGCTTACAGAAAAATCTCATTTAAACATCAGCAACTCCTTGTTTCAAAAGTCTTCCCAATTCTTTGGAATGGAAAACATGAGCTCCTGCAGTAGTTGAATTTAAAATTCAAATTTGTTGGCTTGCCTAAGAACATCATTTTGCAAGCAGCAAGCTCCTTGGTGGTTGTGAATTTCCATAGTGCCAAGGCCAACCACTTATCCCCTTTTGAAATAATCTGAAAGCATAAGCCTTTTTTGAGGCAACTGAATGCATGTTTTCAGAGGAAAGTAATTTTAAGGTGGATAATAAATAGTGTATATAGAGCCAATGAATCCAAGGAATTTATCAAGAAACAAGTGAGAGGTGTAAGCAAGCAGCCATATGGACTTGATCAGATTATAAGCTTGCTTTATTCTGCAAAGTTTTGGGCAATTTACATGAACTTCAATTCATCATCCATAAAAATAAAAATAAATCCTAGGAATGAATGAAGTACTAGTAACATTGAGGAGTGGTTTGGCTATATTTACCTCATCAACCATTGGTTGTAGTTAGCAGTTAGCTCTAGTAGTCAACCTGCACAAAAAAGGATTTGCATTGCGTGTATAAGAAAAGGCAGCACAAGTTAAAGAAAAGTGTTATTTATTATAATTTTTCTAAATTCTCATATGAAAAGTATAAAATGGTGATGCCAGTTTCAGTTCACTCTTGCTCTTATTACCTGATTATTATCTATCAGAATGCAGGGGATGGTACAGGTGAGAGAATGGTAGTCTCCTTTCTCCTCAAAGTGCTGTTGTTTTAGAAGCGGACAAAGGCTGATGTCCAGTCGTCCAAGTGAGGGAGGTAAGCCTTCCCTTGGCAAAGATCGCAGCTTTGGGCAACGAACTATTTCAAAAACTTTAAGGGAGTCTAGGTTTTGGAAGAACCCACTTGGTATGGATTCCACATTTTCTTGACCACAGATCTGAAGAGAGGTTAAGGAAGAAGGCAACACAACATCCACAGGGAGTTTCTGCTCAATTTTCAATTGTTGAAGAGAAGTAAGATTTTGGAGGCACCGTCCAAATCCCATCGTCAAAGCCCCACCTGGGATTAATAGACCCTGAAGCAATGTGAGCTGGTACATTGTATTCGGCACACACTTGAGATTCTCACACCGTCCTAATTCAAGATGTGTTAAGTTTGGGGGCAAACCACCATCTGGAATGAACTCAATGCCGGGGCAGCGCATCATCGTTAGCCTTTGAAGAGATTTCACCTGGTACATTGTATTTGGGAGCGATACTAAAGATCGACAGCTGTGAATAGTTAATTCAACGAGATTGTTGAGGCAATGAAGGGTGGGTAAACTTTTCAATATCTTACACCCTTTTATTTCAATGCGTTGGAGTCCTGTACAATGCTGCAACATCCTCTCTGGAAATGATTCCAACCACTCGCCCCCATCACGAACTGTAAATTCCTTGAGAAAAGCTGGTAGCTGATGACAACCCTCAGGAGAATAGAAACATGGAACATTCATTATTTTCAAATGTAGATTACTATTACTGTCACCGTCCACATCCGGTAGAGACTCCAGAACTTTACAGTTTGCTATGCTCAAGTACTTAAGCGTGATGGGTAATTTGCCTCTTGGAAAAGACTTCAGAGAATTACAATCATAAATTTCCAACTTTTCTAGCCTTGACATCAACATACTAGTGTTGCTGCTACTGCTTCCATCCGTCCTCATCATCATTGTATCGGGTAATGACTCCAAAGCCCTACATCCCCAAAGGCTAAGATGTTTAAGATTGAAAGGCAAGAGGCTTTGTTTTATTTCCGTCCCTTCCTCCCACAAACAAGTAAGATCATTGCAATCTTCAAAATACAAAGTCTCAAGTGTTGCCAAGGACTGTGTAAAACTCTCAGGCAAGCAAGTCAGTTCTGAAATTTCCCTAATACTCAAATTAGCAAGTGAGTTGAAATCACCCATACTCTTCAAAAGCATCGCATTGCAGTTTCTAACATCCAACTCTTTAAGTGACGGAAGGTTGCTGGGTAATTGTCCTAACAACTTAGGACAATTTTTAATCACAAGCTTACGAAGACGACGGAATTCACCTTCACTTCCAGTTGGAGAAGTCCATTCCTTCCAATTTAACATGTTTTTAAACTCTAGTACCTCCAGTGACGGAAAAGAGTTATGTTCCCCATAAAACTCAGAACCTACAGCTTCTATTGCCTCCATGCCTCCAATAATCAATTCTTTGAGAACAGGTAATAGACCAAGTGAAGGCAACAAAGGGCATCTCTTACAATTGCTGAGCACCATGGATGATAACTTGAAAAATAATAATGGATCACAAACCCAAGTTGGGAAATTCTCACCACCATAGCAAAAAATTTTGAGACTTTTCAAATTTGAATTAGGTTTTAACCAATGGAGAACCTGCATTTCAAGGACTAAATCATTTCCATCATTATCAGAAGCAGTCCACTCCAAGAGTAACTCTTCCAGACCATGGATCTTGTCTAGCTTGGCCTCTCTAGCATCTTGAACATCGACAACATTCTGCAAATCTAGAAGAGACAGTCTTCCTCGAAGCTGAGAAAAGTTCTTCAAATCAGATAATCTCATGAATCCACTTGCCTTCCCCACGATCACTTTGGACAATGTTACAAGATTTTTAAGATTACCTATTCCTGATGGCATCTCTTTTAAAGATGGTGTTTTATCTATATCAAGATAATAGAGATCAATTAGATTCCCAATCGTCATAGGCAACTTAGTAAGCATGCTACAATCACATAACAACAGTGTTTGCAAGAAAAAAAGAGAACCCATTGATTCAGGTAGACATTTGATTTTTGTACTAGACAAATCAATGTACCGAATGTGTTTCAAATTTTTAAATGAATCTGGTAGCTTGCTTATCTGATAGCTGCGAAGAGATAGCACTCTCAAACAATTTAATATTGGTAGGAAATCATGCAACATTTTATTAGACAAATAGAAGTTGTAAGCACTGAGCACTCTTAGTGGCAACAATGTTCTCAAATGCTTCAATTTATCCAAGACTGTGAATCTCTCTGAGATTTCATAAGCGTGTGGAGTAAATGACAAATGACGAGCCTTCTCTAATTTTCCATTACCCATGTTATGTTCAAGATTGCAATATATTTCTCCAGCAACATCTACCGCTAAATCATTTATAAGGTCATGCATCACAAACTGCGATTCAACCCTGCTTGATTGTTGAAAGAGTGATCTTGATAGCAACTCTTGGAAATATTGATGACCAATTTCCTCTTCCATTTGCTTCTTTCTATGTGACTGTTGCTGTAATAAGCCCTCAGCCATCCATAACAAAACCAACTCCTTTTTGTCAAATTCATAGTCTTGAGGGAACAAAGCACAATAAGCAAAGCATCGCTTCAAGTAAGAAGGAAGATGATTGTAGCTCAATCTCAGAGCAGGAAGAATTCCACTTCTATCTTCTGATAAATTCCATATCTCACTATTTAATATATTTTCCCACTCATCACGATGCAGCTTTCCCCGCAAGACGCCACCGAGTGTTTTTAGTGCCAATGGCAATCTTTTGCACCTCTTAACTAGCTTCTCACCAACATCTTGAAGGTCTGGGTGTGCAT